TCTGATTTCTCTCAACATGGGGACAGGAGAGCTTTCAATCAATAAATGGGGAAAAAAAAGTAACTTGCGTTACTTATTTGAAAAAGTAACTCCGATATTTTCTTGTAAATTAAAAAGTAATGCTTTACTTTACTAGTTACTTGAAAAAAGTAATCTGATTACGTAACTCGCATTACTTGTAATGCGTTACCCCAACACTGCTCAGGACAGTACTAAAAAAATAACATGCATTTTGTGTGATCCGTCTTACAAAAAATTAAATTGTTTAAAAAAAAAAATAATTGGACCCATTGAAAATGAGCTCGAAAATAACATTTTTAACTAATTGATGTATTGATTAATCAGCTTAATAAACAGTTTAATTAGCTATTTAGTTTCAATTTAAGGTTTTCTCATATTTCTGTGACTAAAACCAACATTAAAATATTCTTCTAGAAACCAGTAACAAGACACAGCTTTTGAAGTTGAGTTGCATTTTAAATTAATTTATTAAAAGTTTGAATGTAAAACTCAGTCAAAACAACTGCAGTAGCTTCCTCTAGGGGGCAGTAATACTGGAGACTCTTAGGAAGGTTTCGCATGTGGTTCTTGAATGTCAATGACTTCTGCATCTCGTTTGACAACGAAAACAACTGGAAAATGTTCTTTAAGAAGTTTGTAACAAGACATAGCCTTTGAAGCTGAGGTAGAAGATTGTATTTATTTTAAACTAAATTATGTATTGGTTTAATTTTCTATAGTATGTGTTCAATTATAGTTCTGTGGTTTAAACCACCATCAAAATGTTGTGTAATTTGAAGTTGTGTAATAAAACTGTGTTATAAATTAATTTATTAAAAACTAGATTTTCAAACTCAAGTCAAAACAACTGCAAAACTGCAAAATTGTTGAATTTCAATACCATGGTTTCTATTATAGTTCTGTGACTAAAACAAATATAAAAATGTTCTTATAAAAACAGTAACAAAGACATGATGTTGATACAGAAGAGTGTATTTATTTTAAATTAATTTATTTATTGGTTTAAATTTCAATAGCGTGTACTTTTTTGGCGTCATACTTCTGTGAAAACAACGAACATTAAAATGTTCTCACAAGGTAAATAAACATGTGCAAACAATATACTTGCTCTTGTGAATTTATTTTGATGTTAATTACATTGTGCGAGCTGTCTCTTTAATACCACGTGGTTTATATACATGCTGCTGCTGATTGGCTGACATTTCTGACACACCCACCAAACAAGAGAAAACGTGTCTCAAACCCCGTTGCACACCGTTTCCAGCAAACATGTCGTTCAAACCGGAAACCGTAGCTAAACGGTGCACACCGGTTTGAGCTTGAACTTGCCCCTGTTTTCCTGGTTTGGTCAGGTGATGTTCGACATATACCCCATTGAAATGCAAAGTCAAAAGTATTGTAATGAAGATGAAATGTGCTCGTGTAAACTCATCTCGTCTCCCTGGAGGCTCTAATTAAACACACACTTGCGAGCTCAATGACGCTAATAAAAACAGAGATTTTAGAAGACTGTCGAGAGATTAATGCTTGTAGTTCTCGTGATAAGCCTGCCCTCTAGTGCTGACCCATATAGTGATGACCAGTAAAAACATCATGTGAGTTGCACAGCAGACAATCATTCATCTGCCATTATACACAACATACACATTAAATACTGGACATTCATTACATTTACATTTATTCATTCATCAGACGCTTTTATCCGAAGCGACTTACAAATGAGGAATACAAGCCATTCATCATAAAGAGCCAAATATCACATAATGCAACTCATAACACAAAGTTTAAGACATCGTTTAGAACAGAAAGAGCAGGGAGCTGGGAAAGAGAAAGAAAGGTTCTCTCTATGATGGGACCGTTAGGAAGCAATGCACTTCAAAGTCAGATCAAAGTGCTACATTTACTGAAGTAAAATAAACATTCAGTATAACATAAAGATATGCATATTTAACATATAAATATGGTACTTTTAGAGGTAAATAAATTAAATTAAAAAATGCATTTTTGATAGTTTTTA